TCATTCCCATCTTCCCCTCTGCTCTACCTGTTCTACTGCTCAAGTTTTCCTTGCTAGGGAAAATCCCAAACCCCTTTCCCATTATTCTTTCACATCTCCTTCTTCATTCTTGGATCCACCCTAGCTGCTCTCAACCCCGCCTTCTCGTCTACCCCCTCCCTACCAGGCCCTACAACAATATAATTGTGTATAATTCTATACACTTAAACATTGTTTATGTTTTCATGAAATGGTCAACAGATGTGATTAATTGTGTACTGCAAATAACAAAATATCTCTTATTAAAATGGAATAATTTGCCTAAATTCAGAAATTTACAAGGATTATTTCAAAGTGTGAATAAAGAAAGAGTTAACAGATGGGAAAGAGAAATTAGAAGGTTCTAAGTATGGATTTAATAGAAGGAAAAGGTGTTTCTGGATAAGAGAGTCTATTAAGTAAATAAGAGGGTTTAAGCAAGTGATAAAGAAGGTCTATGTATGTTGGTTATATATGTAAGTTTTTTGAGTAAGTAATCTTGAAGGAATTAAGCATTATACAACTATGGTTAAACAACAACTGTTATTTTGCAATATTGTAATATGTTATTTCTTTAAGAGCTAAACTTGATAATATAAAAACATCAATACGAAAGAGTAAAAGAAATTGAAGTTAAAGTGTAAAAGACCGGGTATTGTAAAGTTTCTAAGCTGCAAAGCCTGAGTTAAAATGTAAAGGACCAGGTATTGTTAAGTTCCTATGCTACACCCAAAACCTGAAATTCCTGTAGCTGTTAGGACAATTCCCAGGACTGCCCAGTAGATATTCCCCCTGACCATTTAGTTGTTTAATAACCTAGGACCCTGTGCAGCTTGGCACGTAGGCATCTCAGGGCCCAAACCAATCAGTTTGAATGTACCCCCCCTTCTTAGGATTGACCTATCACTCCCGCCCGACCTGTTCCTGCCAATGAATGTACTAATCATGTTTAAGAATTGTTGTTTGATTTTCCCGCGCCTCATGATGATTTGCTCTGATGTATGCAAAGCCCCCACCCTCCCCAAAAAGTGTACTTAAGCACTGCTCAACCCCTGCTTGGGGCTCTTGGCCACTCTCCCTTCTTGAGTGAGCCTGGAGCCCCAGCGCGCTGGATTGGATCCTCAATAAATCCCCTTTTGCGGTTGCATGAGCCGGTCTCTTGGTGGTCTCTTCCTCCGACGTTCGCAGGACCCTTACAAATATAATTGTGGTACTATTACTTTTCTTTGTATATTAAATATATTCATATTTTCCAGGTATATAAGTCTTTAAGATAGAAGCTTAAAAAATTATTATATGAAGCTGATGTTCTCCAAAAGGTTGCATGGTAATTTTAGGCTTATAAGAATAACATGTTGGAGATTTATTTATATCATTTAATTTTCTTTAACTGGACCTGTTATCAATAAGATTAATATAAAGTTCTATACACTGGGTACAATTTAAATGTAATATCATATTGTGATAGCTAGTATTCATGTGACATCAAGCAACAATATATGTAAACTTTATAAAATAATAATTAAAAAAAAAAAAAGATCAGCTTCAATGATAGAACACTTTACCTAAGATTTATAAAGAGCCCTGGCTTACCTGAGATAAGGCTCTGCCTCCCATCTTACTACATGTCAGAATGACTCCAAAGTAGGCCAGACTTCAGCTAAAGCCCAGTACTCTTAATTTAAGGTGAAACTGACTTTGCTGGATGTTTAAGATCAAGACTTAAACTTAAATTAAAATGGCCAAGAAAACGAATATTTTGCTCTGGTCCTCTGAGTCAGTCTGAATCCAGGGAACAGGGAACTTCTCTAAAGAGCTTTGCAACTCTGGGCCACATAACCTCCTGATCAGGGAGATTAATGAGACCACTGGAGAATGAAAAGCCAATCAGTGCATTTGCTATGAAGAGGAGGGTCATTGGAGACAGGAGACATCCCTGATGCTTCCAAGGGAAGCCACATGGTCAAGCAAGACCTGGACCCATCCTAGCGCAAATGGCACTAGCAGAACTAAGAAGCTGCTCTCAAGTTCCCCCACGAGTGACCCCTATGGGAACTCAGCTGACTCTTAACAATAGATAGAAACAAAGTCAATTTTGACCAGCTTGATCTTAAACACCTACCAAAACCAGTTAAGCCAAAACACAGTCATTCCTGGGGGTAATGAAGGACAAAGAACAGCTAAAAAAGAGGAGACAGCAACCAGGCCAACAGGCTCCATGGGGAATGTTCAGTCAAGTATGGCCTTGGCTCCTCCCCGTCACAGGACCCCTATTAGTCCTCTTTATGTTTCTCCTAATAGGACCATGTCTATTAAATTGCCTACAGAAGTTTCTGCAAGATCAGATACACAAATTCACCAACCAGTCAGTCAATCAATTACTTCTTTAAGACTACCAGCCCCTGATGCCCAAGATGGAGACCTATGACTCATGACCAACTCCTCTAGCTCCAGAGACTCTGACCTCACCTAAAACCCTCTCTAACCCCTTTTCCAGGTTTTACAACCCTTCTTTCACTTCCTAGGAATGAGAACTACTCTCCAGCAGGTCCACTTTGCTTGTTCAGTCTGCTCTACAGCATCCCCACAAGGAAGCATCAAACCTAAACTCCCCACACCTCAGATGAGGAGCCACCAGCCAGGCGAAGACTGGTAGATCAACTTCACTCATGTGCCTAGGCACAAAAAGCTTCACTACCTACTTACTTTGGTTGATACTTTTCAGGTTGGATAGATGCCTTCCCTACCTCCAGGGAAATTGCTGACACCATTGCCTCCATCCTCATTGAGGGGATCATTCCCAGGTTGAAACTTCCCGCCTCCATCCAGTGAGACAATGGTCCAGCTCTCACTTCTCAGGTTGTTCAACTAGTCTCCAAAGGCCTCAACATCACTTGGAGGCTCCACATCTCCCACCAACCCCAATCCTTGGGTAAAGTTGAGAGGCCTAACGGCATTCTCAAAGATCATCTCACTAAAGTTGCTATTGAACTTAGGAAAGATCATCTCACTAAACTTGCTATTGAACTTAGGCTCTCCTGACCCAATCTCCTGCCGTTGGCCCTCACCTGATTTCAGGCAGCCCCATAGAGCTCCCTCAGGCCTTAGCCCCTTTGAGCAATTCTATGGATGCCCTTTCTTACCACCCAAAGCTTTACAGTCACTCCTCCTCCCCTGTGCCCTACCTGCCCTATCTCACACTTCTACACAAACTCCTAAGGGAACATGCAGACCAGTGCCTTCCTGCGCCATTCATTGCCTCAATCCCAGCACAACCACAAACTGAATTGGACTCTCTTCAACTCGGTGACTCAGTCTTACTTCAGGAACTGCATTCTCAATCATTGGAACCTCCTTGGACGGGACCCCATACAGTCATACTTACTACCCAAATGGTAACCAAGCATTTAGACACTCTCTCTGGTATCATGTCTCCCACCTTAAAAAGGCACTTGTTCCAAATGTCCACTCCTGGACTTCCACCATGCCCACCAAACTCAAAATTTCTCGCCAACTCTCGTCTTCTTTTACTAATCATTAATCTCTCTCAAGTTTCTATCCCAATCACAGATGGTGCTTTAACATCCAAGCGACATGGCACCAGGATGACACCACCCACTTTCAGTTTATGGGTCAAGGTGATTGTCCTTCCACTGGCTGCAATTGGGCTGTCACCCTTAACATTACTGGATTCAACTAAGCCACCTCTGTTACTTCCTAGAGTCCCTACAACAGGACCAATGGCTGATACCAAGAATCTCCTCCACCCAGGACTTGTTTGATGCCATTGAGGACTTGGGGCTTCAAGGAACTTTTATGGACTTTACCCCTACCTAAGTAGTTATCTATAGCCACTGAGTGTTATTTTTGGCTGCCCTGGTGTTCTCAGACCTGTCCCCCGAACATTCCTCCACTTTCCCTTCTAGGCCCAACACCGCCCACCATTAAGCAGGAAGTAGTCAGAGGACTTTACACTGTCCCCCATGTCACTTAGAAAAACAAAAAGGGAGGAATGTTAGGTGCAGGACAGGCTGAGTAAGCCGTCTGCAAGGCATGCCAAACAAAGTTAGCTGCAGGATGACCTGCCCTCTCAAACCCTCTGTCTGGTTCTTTATCAACTATTTGCTTCAAGCCCAAATGCCTAAGCCCCCGCTCAAGGCTGAACACTCAACCCCCTGCTCAAGGCCAAACACGTAACCCCCCTTGTGCTAACAAGGCAGCTTGCAGACCCAGAGACCTCATTAGATTTGGGCTATAAAAACTCCCTCCTGCCGGGCCCCTCTCTCTCTTGCTATCTCCCTTGCTTTCTCTGTCTCTCTCTTGCACTCTCTCTCTTTTTCTCTCTCTCTTCTCTTTCTTTTCTCCTCTGTTGCACTGCTGCAATAAAGATCTCTTGGTTGCTCTAAGTGTTGTGGTCACTTTCCTTTCACCCTTTAAGATTAGCCAGGCACAATGGCACACGCCTATAATCTCAGTGGCTTGGGAGGCTAAGGCAGGAGGACTGGGAGTTCAAAGCCAGCCTCAGCAAAATCGAGGTGCTAAGCAACTCAGTGAGACCCTTTCTCTAAATAAAATCCCCCCCCCCCAAAAAAAAAGAATAAATTTTATTCCTTTTTAGAAAGAATCAAAAGTTATCTGGGAGACTAAGGCACTTCTGTTAAAGAGACTTGTTTCGTGAAAACTATCCAATCTGGTACTTTCATTCCAATCTGCGTAATTTGTTCGCCCACATTCATGGAGTTCCTTTACTTGCTTTTCTCCTGCAGATTGTGAGCAAGGCTTGCTCCCAGCCTGGGTCAGCCAGGGTTCTTCCAGCCTCAAGACTCCGCGCTGCTCCCAGACGCAATCCCGCCCCAATTCCGCCCCAATCCCGCCCCTGGCGTGGAGTCCCGCCCATGAACCCGCCTCTTCTCGGCCCCGCCCACAGGCCCGTCTCCGGCACCGGGCCCCGCCCCCCAGCCCGCCTAGGGCCGGTAGCTGCCACTGCCAGGCCGCCCTGTCTTGGCAGCCGCGTAGCCATGACTGGGGGCCGCGGGGTTCCCGGGCGCGGCCGGGATGAACCTCAGGAGAGCTACCCGCAGCGGCAGGACCACGAGCTGCAGGCCCTGGAAGCTATATACGGAGCCGACTTCCAAGACCTGCGGCTGAACGCGTGCGGACCGGTAGGAACGTGGCGGATCTGGCCTGAGCTGGCTTCCTACAGCCCGGCCTCCCTTAACCCTGAGGTTTACAGTTTGGGCGGCCCCTTTAGGATTCTGCAGTGTTTTTTTTCATTCCTCTAATTCCACCCATGCTCACACTCTGTCCTCGAACCTTAGCTGGTCTCTAGACCCCCTACCTAGACCGAATTTGGAGATTTTTCCGAGTCTTACTTGGCACCATTTCTTATTCCTACTGACCCCCAAACATCCCTGCCTTTTTCCAACTTTGCCTTCTCCCTCCCACCCCCTGAGTTCTCGAGGAGGATATAGTAGCACGTTCACAGTCACCCAATGCTACTTTGGCCTGGGAACGCTTTGGGAGCGCTTGCACAGGCCTTGGGCTTTCAATCAGAATTCCTAGGGCTCACCTATGTATTCAGAACTGTACAAGTCGTAATTCTTACCTCACTCCTAGGCATCCTCATGTTTTCGGTATGGCAGAACTTTCTGTGCCTTCCTTTGAGGCAGTTAGCTGAGAACACTATAGAATGCATTCGTCTTGGAAGTTTACCAGAGAAGTTATATTGAGTCTAGATCTTTTTAAGTGGCCAGTTGGCTTAAAATATCATTTTCCTTTTTTTCTGGAAGTTAAGATACACCGTAAGCTTCTGATACTGTTTCCCCCATTCTTGAAGAGTTGATCTGCCAAACTAATATGTTTCTAAACATTGTCATTTAAAAATATTACTTGCTTCATCTGCCTTTAATTCGAGCATTTTACAGCTTCTGCCTTATCTACACATCTGCCTTCTGTAAGGGCAGAAAATTCTCCCAACCCAACATGCTTCTTCCTTCTTCTATTAAATACTGTGATACACCATGGGAATGAAACTGGGCAAAACAGACAAAAATCCTGCCCTCAGGGAGGTTACTTTTCCAGTACTTAATTTCCAGAATTATTTTTAACTGTGTATACTGCTTATACATGTTTATAGTAAAATAATAAATTAATTTACTGGTCATCTGGCAACTTCTCTATTCCCAAACATTGAGAACCAGGAAGTAGACCCATTAAGCAGCTAAAATTTTTGTTACAAGTGTGCACCCAACTCAGTGCAAAACCCCTGAGACTTCATTCAGAGCCAGTTTACTTTATACAGAGCTTATTATCTGCTCCTAATGCTCGAGAAAATAGGGAAGAAGCAGCTGCTTTTGGGTAGAGACACTGATCATCCCATTAATTTATAGCTGATGTCAGTAAGCCCAAGAATTTATAGCTAATGGTTTTTATAAAAAGATATAAAAATACACAAAAGAAGCAAAAACTATAAAAGGCAGGCAGAAGTATTGGATAGCATCTGTGGCCATGAATCTTTAGGAATATGATCACCTGTATAGGCCTCATAAGAAAATAATTGATGGATGAGTCAGAGTTTACTCATTCAACAAGTCCTTATTAGCACCTGCTATTTGCTAGTCTTTAGGGAAGGGTTATGCAGGTCCACAATCCTTTATCCAGAACGCCTGAGGCCTGATGGCTTTCAGAATTGTTCCTGTTCACATTCATGGGTACATGTTCCACACTATCTAATGCCTTCCTCCAAGTTTTGGGCAGCATCCAAAAATCAAGAATGAATATTCAACTTTCACACTAAACAAGACAAAGACTATTAATAATCTTGTATCGATTCTGGCCAAATTTGCTGCCAATACCTTCAAAGAGATTTTAAAAAATTTTTTGGGTAGTGTTATAATGTAAATTCAGTTTAGCATATGTATATCATTTATAAAGAAACATTTGGAGTCATGTACTAAAAATTATGCTATAAATAAAAAAGTTTGGATACCACTAGTTTAAACTATAACTTATAGTTAAAAGACAGTTATAAATTATTATTGTTATTTATCTTGGCTAGCTTTCCATATCAGCAAAGGGACTGCTCCCTTATAATTTATTTTTTAATATTTTTTTAGTTGTAGATGGACACAATACCTTTATTTTACTTATTTATTTTTGTGTGGTGATGAGGATCCAACCCAGTGCCTCACACACACTAGACGAGCGTTTGTTTTCCTTCTTCTTCGCTATCATTGTATATATCAGACTTTTTCATCTTTGCTAGTAGATCAATGAAACGTTTTAATTTTTATTTCTTTGGTTATAAATTATATAGCTCACCTTTGTTTGTACGCCATTGATTTTTTTTTCTATGAATTGTTTGTGTTCTTTTATTTTTCTATTCTGCGGTGTATCTTCTTATTTGTAAGAGGTAGGCAGATATATGTTAGGAAAATTATCATTTTGAGTCATCATATATTATAAATATTTACCCTGATTAAACATGCATATTTTATATTTATGTAATTTACACAATTAAACTTTTTTTTTTTTAAGAGAGAGAGAGAGAATTTTAATATTTATTTTTTAGTTTTCGGCAGACAAAACATCTTTGTTTATATGTGGTGCTGAGGATCGAACCCGGGCCGCACGCATGCCAGGCGAGCGTGCTACCACTTGAGCCACATCCCCAGCCCACAATTAAACATTTTTAATGGAATCAAAATGAACTATTTTTTGTATTGTTGTCACTTTGGATTTTTTCCCCTAAGAAAAAACTTCTCTGCCCCAATGTTACCAAACAAAAACGATTTTTTGAGATTTTATTTAATTTTTCATGACTTCATTTTTAAATTTTCATCAAATAAATATAGAAATAACTGGGTGTAGGTGGGTATTGTGCTGCATGTCTGTAAATCTCAGCTACTCAGGAAGCTGAAGCAGGAGGATCACAAGTTCAAGTCCAGCCGGGGTAACTTAGACTGTATCTCAAAATAAAAAATTCTTACAAAGGTTGGGGATGAAGTTCACTGGTACAGCTAAGTTTAATCCTAAATGCCACAAAAATAAATATAAAAATATCATTTAAAAAAAAAAATTCCACCTTAGCTCTATCATGTAGGTCTAGGTCACCCTCTTTGTGTAATCTTCCACACCCCCAGTTAGTCAATCAGTTGAGATTTTCAGTCTTTTTCACTACTAATTTGAAATGCCACCTTTATGTTAAGTTTTAGGACTGAATTTGCATCTATTTTACTTTTTAATATGCTTGAGGATTTGTTTAACTATATTGTAACATATCAGGAGGGTATCAAAGTTTATGATCCTATTAGGAAGCAAATATAATTCATATCTTATAGCAATATATGATCTTCTCTAAATGACTTCTTTTTTTTTTAAATGACTTCTTATTCTGTATTCGTGTCACCTGCATTTCCAGTGTTCAGAACAATTTTTTTTCTCATTTATGATGTTATATATTTACAAATGATACAACCTGTGTTTTTCCTCTCCTTTAATGCTCTCAAAAGGTTTTGGTTGCCTGTTACTTTGTGTTTGTTTGCCTGCAAATATCCCAGGAATGCATAATTTCTTTGTGCAGGTTAAGTCAACAATTTTTTTAGCATTCTAATGACCATTTGTCTTCTATGCATAAAGGAGACCTCCCCCAGCCTACTCCCAGTATCCGCTCAGTATACCTGGGCTGTAAGATTTTTAATCAAATTCTCTTCAACTCCCAGAGTCCTTAAATGCCCTAATATGAGCTGATTCTTGGTATCCTAAACACATCTTGCAAAATGCCTCTTCACATGCTGAGAAATTTTTCTATTTGCTTGAGAAAAGCCTAACAAATATTCTGCTCTAATCTCTGAAAGCACTATTCTCTGAGTGGTTTGGGGATTTTGTTTAGGGGTTTTGTTTGTTTTTCTTTCAGTGAGATTGTAACAGATAGGATTAAGTTTGGCCACATATGACAGTAAAATTTAACAACAAAGTTAATATTTTTGCATGTAGAAGTCCAGAGTCTAAGACCTCTTCTATTTTGCTGTTGTCCCATCATCATTATGCCCCTCATGGTCTCCCATAGCTGTCCAAATTCTAGCTTTCACACCTATATTCTAGCTGGCTGAAAGGAGAAAGGGATGAAAAAGTTGATTCCCTTTGTTTTAAGGTCACTTCCTGTAAATTGCATATGACAGTTCTTCTTTCATTTGATTGTCCAGAAATCAATCCAGTGTTCACATGTATCTGCAAAGGAGCCTGGGAAATGTATTCAGCTAAAAGGTCAGAGGTTCTGTTGCTATGAAATAAAAAGAAGAACAGATATTGAAGATAATAGTCTTTGCTGAGAAAAACCCCCAAAGTCTGTGACTTATGGAGAGAAATGCCACTCTGGTCATTAAACTCTGTAGGCCAAAATAAAGGCCTTAAAAGTAACCAGTCATCCCAACAGCTTCAATGTCTTGCTCTTCTCATTTTGAGTTGGCCTTGGTACTCAATCCTGACAAATTATTGGATTTTTCTGTCATTCTTCAGTGGCTGTGGTCTGTTCCTTCATCCACTGGATTCATGTTCCTATCACTGGATTCATATGCTTTTTAAAGCTGAAACCTTTATGCATCATGAGTCCTTCACTTTTTATCAAAATTCTTTCCTCTTTTCTAAAAGTTTGTTTTGGTGTTATCTGGGCTTATTACCATTTCCACTGTTGACCTGCTCATGTTGCTATGCTATGGAAGTACCTGGAACACTAGACCTCCCTGATATTTTATGGCTGGTCCAACCCAGAAGTGGTTACAGGATTCTAACTCTGCTTTTATTGGCCCCAGGGTCCTGCACACCAATTTCCCATCCATACTTAGTGGCCTTAGGGCTGGCTGAGAAAGGCCTCTTTCCCTGAGGCTTGCCAATCTTTAATTCTATTTGTTGAATAGAGTACATTTATTAAACATTCCATTTAGTAAAGAATATCTTAGAAATGTGCAGTCCTCCAATAAGCCACTGTTTCCTGAAACTTGCTTCCTGTTCCAGTGCTTCAGAATAAAGTAATGACCAAGCCATGCTCTTTCCCAAGGTTTCACATTCAGGGATACTCTTTACTGCTTATATAAAGAAAAAGGGAGGGCTGGGCCTAGCTGACTGACTTGACTTGACCTGACCTGGGTACCTGGAGCCAGATTTA